GATTACTTGAGCTCAAATCAGACACGTTTGGTGCATACCTGTAGTATTAAAGGTTTCCCCATACTAACTGTTTCAATCATTTTGGAGCCGAAAAACTATCAAGAAATAACGATTTGTCTAATTCTATTGAAAAAGTGTCCACCACTGTCCATTGGCACCGGAATGTTGAAATATGATTGGGTGAAATATCCTTTTGGGGTGTGGTGCAGCAACAAGTCAATTACACTTCTCCCTTTTCCCGTATCAATGAAAACGGTTTTTAAAATAATTTCCAACACATTAGGCATGGTTTTCTTGTTCCTTGAAGTCTTAAATGTCGGAGCATCAAACACATTTTGGTTTCTCATTTGTTTATTTGGAGAAGAAGTAAATCTTTAATAACTGAATCAAAATCATTGTTTGTTTCTATCAATGGCCTTACATTTGTCACATGGCACCTAGAGCACCACCAATCAGAACTTTGGCCTCTAGCCTACCACATAAGGGTAATTAGATCTCCCATGTGCAGGGATTGCTTCAAATTAGACAAGCATTATATTCCTGAACCCATAATCATTTTATTTTGATGATCACGTTCATATGTTGTTTTATGAGAACCATAATAATACAAGATTATTGTTTTTCTGTCCAGGAGTATCTTTCCAACCATCACCTCAGCCTGGAAATCCCTGCTTCTACTTATCTACTGATATTGGACATCTCTGGAGAAAGTGTAGCCTCGTCCGAGCATCCCAAGGTTCAGTTACTGACCTCCAGCTGTCCTTGCACTCCAGGGTGCTCATGACGTGGTTCAGATTTCTGGCATCTTTGCTTAGGGATGAGCTTTATCATTGGAATCCTTCACACTAAAGAAGCACGGTTCCAATTGTAGGAAAAGGAAAACCGCCCTATCTCCTGACCTTCCTTATACTGTGTAGAACTTCACCAGACACTGCTGTCAGGGCAGTGTAACCCTGCGTCATCGCTGATCGCCACCCGCGCATTTCTTTTCACAATGCTCATTACAGTTGAGTATAATACCGAATGAAAATCTGATCAAAGCTCTCTTCCGGGTAAGCCAGTGAGAAAAATCTTGATACACACACTTTGAGACATAAATTCATGAATTGTTTGCCCTGGCCGCTGTGATGCATGGATGCAGGCTGAACTTGAGTTTCACTGGCTTGTGAGCATTCATCAGTGCTTGAAGTTTTCTTCATGACTGTTTTGCATCGTGATGTACCGGTAATTGTACTGTAAATGTAAAATACCTTATTCCTCCATTCCTTGTGTTTTATTTTAACATATTATTTGTGTTTTTGAATGTATTGAATTGTATCTTGTTTGTGGTTGCTGTCAATCAACAATTAAAAAACTTCTTTTGAGGTTTGCTTGTGATGTTATTGTTTTGTTAGTTATACTTTGCTAATGTATGTGTTCTGTAGATCAGGCATGTCCTCGGTATACCATATGAACAACAATCACGGTTCTCTGTAGAGTTTAAAGTTAAAATTCAGTTGGAACCACTTAAACCTCTTTATAGTTTATTTGGGGGGAAAATGTCGAAATCACTCATTTTAATATCTGTTAATCCCAGCTATTATAGCCACCAGATTAAAAAAATCTCCGGATGGTTGAGATTAAGGTTTCAAAGACTAACTTCATTGAATCACTGGGATAGGCATAAAACCATTCCAGGGTTCCTTTCATAGTCCACCTAACAGCATGCCCGTCACCATGCCTTCTCTTCCAATTGTGGTGTTTGCTGAGGTCTGCCCAGCAGTAAGGTCTTGGGCTCTACAGCAATTCAGTTTTAGACGAGATATCAGCATGAAACTACAAGATTGTTCTTGCCTGCACGTGTCCTTTAGATGGTGCCTGAAAACAACATTACCTTTTGTGTTCTGGGGTGAAATTTCTCATGTTTGTTCAAATTATTTAAAAGTTTTAAAGAGGATGTTGAGACTAGAAGGGAATTATACATTAACCGTTCTTTTTACAATCACCTGGTCAAATTCCTTAACTTCACTAAAATAAAAGATGAACACCATTGTCAAAAATATTGTGTAATAATAAAATGTTTTTGGTAAAATTACATTTGGGGCATTTCTGCAATACTTTTGGACCCACACGGATTCCAGTTTTTGTGACTGTCCTGACAATGGCAGAGGTGGTTGGCACAGAGGTGGCAGCGATGGCTGTGGTAGATGGAACAGCAATGGGAGGCACAGAGATGGGAGCCACAATCCTGGGCGGCACAAAGATGGCATCAAAGGGCGCAGAGGTTGCAGCGATGGCTGTGGTAGATGGAACAGCAATGGCAGTAGCTTGTGCAACACCAGTTGCCACAGCGGTGGGTGTGCTGTTACAGGCATCAGTGGCACTTGCTCTCTTAACAAGCTTGTATTTGCAGGATCCTAAATGTGATCAAATCTGGCTTCCTTAAAACTGTGGACTGACAGTACAGGCAATGGTAATGTTACTGGGTTCGGCAGGGGCGACCGCATCTCTGTATGGTGTACCCTGGAATACCCTGGTGTACGACTGTCACACACATTCTTATGATCTTTCAAAATAAAAAAAAGAGTTTGCTAATTTCATGTTGAACTGCTCTGTTGAAGTGTCTTTTAACATGTTTCTGAACTTTGGACAACTTTGTTGCTTGGAAATATATCGGGGCACAGTGAAAAATCACTGCAGCATTTATTACATTTCTGTATTTCTGGAAGTGAATTCCCCTTTAAAACTGTTATATCCATCTTCAAAAAAAAAAAAAGGACAGTCAAACTCAAATTCAAAATTGAAGACCACTCCCCCACAGAGCCCATACAGTCAACTTTCAGTGAAAAAAAAATTAAAACAAGGAACCCCCCAGAAAAAGGCCAAATGACTCATTCTAACTCACATGTTAATACCACAGACTGGTTAATACATAGTGAAGGCATAGCATTGATTATTAGGAAACTGTAGCCTATGAGTTTTAAATGGCTAGCAACAACTTTACATCACTGTAAAATTAATATTGATCCATTTAAATACTTACGTTTTAAGAAATAATTTAAGTAGTCTATATAAATTATATAAAGTAAAATAATTACTCTAATTAATTAATTCAATTTATAGTTTTAGGAGAAGGGTTCCGATAATTAAATAAAAGTAATTCTGATTAAATAATTAATGATGACATTCTTTGATATTAACACAGTTAATGTATTAATTGGTCTACTTTTATGTCAACTACATTAAATCAATTTTTTACAATGGCTTGTCTACAAAAAGTAAGCTATCAAAATATTTTCGGGGAAAAAAGGTGAAAAAACATACATTAACGGCTCAAATTTTGTTACAAACTATCATTATAAATATTAAATAGACTGTTTATATGTTGGTGTACTGATGAGCTATAAAGTAGTTTGATTTAAAAAGATATCATGGATTAAAATTGACGATTCTCACCGTGTTTCAGTTCTTTACGTGTTTATCCATGTGTTTATCTAATCCAAATTGAAAGGTGGCGCTGTCTCAAAAAACGAGGGGTCTGACAATGTGGGACTCTGGGTGCGGGACTTTAGATGCAAGCAGACTTCGAGTCTGCAGCTTCATACTCCTCCAAAATGTATTTTTTACCTTATTTATTCGTCATATAAAGTGTTACATTTGTACAATTAAACTTAGAAAAGAAAGCGCAGAATAGAGGAACAATAGGTTTGTGAAATACAGTTTACAGAAACACAGAAAGGAAATATTAATCACTCTCTAAAAACAGCTTGTCATATTTTGACATTTTGTTTTTGGTAAGTCTTAAAGAAGAAACAAGAGAATTAATTTCAGCACAGAAAGGGGAAAGCATAACGGAAATTTGAGCTACTTTTGTTGTTGAATAAAAATTATATGAGAAAGTGTATGACACTTTAAGAAATTTAGAATGTGATCGCCCAAAATTGGTTTGCTGTACGGCATTAAAAAAAGTGGGGAGTGTTATGGTAAAAATATACCTTCTCAATTGATAATAAACACTGGAGACCGTTTGAGAGAGAACACAGCAAATGCGGCTATTTATTGTAAAGATTTAGCAGTCTCAACACATTTCCTACACATGTGACTCTAACGTGGAAGAAGAACGTGGTTTATCGCATATTCTTAAAGCAAGCCGGGAAGAAAACGAGAGAGAAAAAGAGATAGAGAAAGAAAGAGAGTATAGAGAGAGAAAGAAAGAAAGAAAAAGAGAGAGAAGAGCCGAGAGAGTCGGGCCAGAGAGAGCGCCGGAAGAGAGAGAGACCCTTTCTCCGTTCCCACCTCAACTTAATCCTCCTCAAGGGGCGGGACTGAAGTATGACGTGTTTTTCAAATTACATTTCTCTAAATGACCACTAGATGGTAGTATTATATAGGAAAATTCCCATCACAGGAGCTGTTTCCAACAAAAAGAGCAAGAGTCATTAAACATTTGCAATTTCAGAGATAAGTAAGTTAACAGGGTAAATTTTGGACAGAAGTTTATTATGAATATTTGGAAGCCCATTTCTGCCAGGTAAAAAGATGGCTTAAAAAGTCAAACTTTTAACTTAAAACTCAAAACATTTGCCCTGCGATGGACTGGCGACCTGTCCAGGGTGTACCTCTGCCTCTCGCCCAATGTGCGCTGGAGATAGGAACCAGCAGACCCCTGTGACCCCAAAAATGAATAAACGGGTTAGAAAATGAATGAATAAATGAAGTAAAAAATTTGAGATAAAAATTCAACATTTGGAGATGCCTAACCTGAACCATACCCTATATGAATTTTCTGTTCTGGATGAAAAGTGAATGAACTGTCTAAAAATTTCAACTCATCTAAAAATTTTGACTAATATCTCAATTATTATCTTAATATCATGGCGGAAATGGGCTTCCATATGAATATCAATAACCTTGTCAGATTGTGCAAAAGTTATTTGCGAGGCAATGCTTTTCTTGAGTTTACTAAAGACGTAGAATCTATATGATAAAGCCGAAAATTATAAAATCTACAAAAAACCATCTCCTTCGAGCCGGATTCGAACCAGCGACCTAAGGATTTCAGCCTCGTTTATTCTACAGTCCTCCGCTCTACCAACTGAGCTATCGAAGGAATGTTTTCTAGATGAACGTTTCCTTATTAGAAACTAATGTAAAGTCTAACACGAATCTTCGTCTTTATTTCTCTTTATAGTATGACACCGAAATTACAGCCTCAAAAAGCCTTTAATCTCTTTGACGATGTGTTGAAAGCTCTATGATCGATTCGTTAACTATCGTTGCATGAGTTCAAACACAGGACATCGCTCCTCAGTTCAAACCGTCGTTTAGCTTCACAGCGTTACTCAAATTGTTCAACACTAAACCATGGCAACAATTGACACAAATAAAAGTTATGTTTAGCTCGTTAATAACTCATCAAGCAACCAGCAGATGGCGCTAAATCTATCAGAAATCGTGCGTGTTAAAGTTGACGAAGAGAGCATCATAAACGTGTAGTGTTACGTTGCTTTACAAAAACGTTTAAACTGCTAGAAACCATCGTGGTATACTTAAAAGGTCTTTAACTATACAGCATGTTACATATGAACATATGTGACCAAGTGATGGATAATTTAAAATAGAAACAATTATATTTAAACGTGTTCTAATAAAATGACAAAAACACAGTATACACAGAGATATCAGGAGGCAACAAAGCCCAGTGGTTTAATCCTAAAAAATATATGGCATGATTGACAACACAACCTGGATCAGACGAGACAAATCTAATTAGCAACGTATGAAAAATAAATACAAATGTTACACAATTTTCACCATCAAAATCCAAATGTTATGAGACATGTTTTAATTATGTGATGCAAAGAATGAAAAAAGTAGGGTTTATTTGAGTCACATCTGTAGTTTTCCAGAAAAATACACCGCATTAGTCACGTTAACACAGAGATAAACAATGGCACATATTGGATTTCTACTTTAAAAGCTAAGTGGTGCTCTGAGGACTGTCGTATTCAGGAGACAGAGTTAAATAAATTACTAGCATTGACATACACATTTGAGTATTATATACAGAGGGTGTTATTGGAACAAAATCTACAATTTAAATGTCGATGTCAACCATTTTGAATAATAGCCTATATTACACCGTATGTTAGTTCTTGTATCTGTTATAAAAAAAAAAAAATAAAAAAAAACAAGTCCTGTGACAAACAGGTGATACTTTACTGCATCCTCTCCAAGTCCAGCAAAATAGACTCTTTCTCTAAAGGAATAATATTAACAAACTCCTCTATGTACAGGATTGGAAACAGGAAGCGGGTAACAGACGAACTAAAACACTGTTTCTGACAGACCCGGGGCTCAGAGGCGGGAGAGCAGAGGCACATGACACACAAACTTGACTTTAGAGATTGCAAAACAATGCAGACTAGATATGTCCGAGTTGATATCAGGCGCGTTTGTGTTTGTCTGGAATGACTATTTACAATTATCAGACAGGAACTGGTATTGGATGCAGTTGTCATGGCAACAAGCTCCAGCCCCTGGCCTCCGATTGGTGTAAACAGACACTTAATGAAAGAAAGAGGCCAACGAACCAATTCAACTGCACTGCCCTCTCACGTTGTCCGTGGCTTTCTTCAAAAAAAAAAAAGTGGAGTAATCATTTGTGCATACATTAGGACAATAAAATCCCTCTTTTCCTTCAACTTGCAATAGTGGTTTTATTTTCAGGATATCCTTGTAGGTAAACATAGAAATACTCATTTTTGTAGCAAATCAGATCTCCAGAGAAAGAAATCCTTCATGAATCTTAGTATGCTTAAACTGACCAATCAGAAGGTAGCGAGAGAACTTGAAGAGCGCCATAGTTATGAGGTCAATCATTTGCAAGCTGTGGCTTGGAAGACGGCATGTTCCACCCCTGCATAGCTGATTAAGAGTGATTTTGTGGAATGCAATGGATGAGGATACCTACTTTTCAACCGATTGCAGGAAGAGTGTCAACCATTGTTTAAAACTAATCTTGGAATATTTTTTTTTTCAAAGTAATTGTCGAAATGTGGCAAGGTACAAAAAAAAAAAAAAATAATTAACCGATCTAGAAGCCCCATTCCCTCTGTAAACTCCAGGGAAGCCCTGCCCATTGGTTATGAGCACTGTCCATCACTGGCTTTGCCCCGCCTCTCAATATGCATCACAGTTTCATTTTCCGCAAAGCCCCTCCCACTACGCATCAGACAGGCAACTTTGAATACTGTCCATCCACAGCTGTGCATTTGTGCAGTCCTGCGCACAGAAATTGTACACTCTTTTGGTCGTCTTGAGCTGGAAGAGAAAAAAGGAGAAAATGTTAGCATTCTTCGAAAAGATCTTTAATAAATGAATGACCAAAGTCTTACATCAAAGAAGGCTTTGTCATCGATGTTTTTGGGAGCACCGATTGTAGGTGTCCCAGGAATGACCGACTCCACATCAGCCAGTTCAATCACCCCCTTGCACTCTTTATCTTGCCTTGTTTCATAGTAACGCAACTAGAGAAGACACACAAACGTGCAATTCAGTTCCATTAAATGAAGTAACGTACACAACTATTGTTTTTTCTTTTTCAGTGATGTACCTGATGTTTGGTCTTGTCCAGAACAAACCAGCGCGGTTTCCAAGGCTTCAGCAAAGCTCCTCTTTTGTATAAAATACCCTCGAAGCTCCTAAAAATCACAAAACAAGGTACGAATTTAACCAAAAGGCAAACTAAATAGTTAATATATTAAAAAATAAACATTTCAAAAGTTTACAATAATTTGGATTCATATAAAAGGACATTTTGTGTAAAACCATAAAAATGCATCAATGCAGGCTACATCACCGGCCACTTTATTAGGTACAGCAGTCCAAACTGCTTGTTAATTTCTACTCAGCCAATCACACAGCAGCAACTTCAGGCATGTAGACAATGTCACAAGGATCTGCTGCAGTTCATATCGACCATAAGAATGAGGCAGAAAGGTGATTTCAATGAGTCATTCAGAAACTGTTAATCTACTGGGATTTTCACGCACAACTATTTGTAGGCTTTACAGAGAATGGCCCGAAAAAGTCAGTTTTGCAATTTATTGAACATATTACGTGCTTTAATTGTACAAACTACACGTCTGTCAGGAAAGTTTCTAAAAATGTACAGTTAATTAACCGTAGAGTAGCATGTGATGGAATTCCGTTAATAATTACAGTTATTTATTTGTGTATTTATATACATGCCATATTGTAAACCACTGTGTACGGAATTATCTTTACGTTGAAAAAAAAGTAATTTTACCACTGAACCTATTTAAAAACAGCTCAACCATGAACAGACTTTATTTACAATATTTGTTTAAATGCAGACAAACTTAAACCGTATTTAGTTTCTCTAAATAATTTTAACATTTAATAAAACGAGTACAACATCGAATTTTAAACAGTTTTTCTTACTTTTAAGATGCGTAACTTAAAATGCGTCCTTTTTTTAATACGTCTTGAGGCAGAAACTCTGGATTAAAGGAACTGGGTTGCTTTTCTCGGTGGATGCATGTGATTGTGATGTCTCTCTGAGAGCCGGGAGCTTTTCATTCAGATGAGTCACATTTCACATGGCAGCTGAATTATTGAATTTTAGAGATGGGATGCTAGGGACTTAATTCTCTCAACCGCTGCTTGTAAATGGAATTTTAACTCGTTTTAAATGAGCACCTAATAACAAAGGAATAAAGGAGTAAAACATTTTTTGTTGAATTTGAATGTGTGGAAATAAAACCAACTTTACCCCATCAGATTTATACATAATACATCTCAGCATGTAGCAAATGAAAATGCACTGATGTTTTAAAGAACCGCTTTATTTTTCCTTCAGAAAAATAAAACCATGAATACTCTACGTTATTAAAAAAAAAAGAAACATATCAACATGCTGCGAGTTACGAAGCAGTCTAAACTGGTAATGGTAATGCAGAGAAAAATACAGAGCCAACAAATGTGTATTTTTACGCAGCAAATTAGACAAATCTACATGAGCCAACAAATACGAAACTAAAATCTGATTGTACAGATCAAACAGGCATAATTCAATTAATGATTAATCGGTCGATTTGCAAAACTCTAGTAAAAAAAACTGGTTGCGCATTAAAAAATGAACTTTTTATCCAATAAGGAAAAATTCACATCATGGAAACGCATTTAACGACTAAATCCCAATGGCGATGTGTTATTTAGACAGAACTAGAGCGTGATGGGGCGGGATTAATGGACTAACCAACGGATCGATTTCATTGCACAACCTCTGAAATGTTGTTTTGATCATTCTAAAATTCCTTAACCAAAGTCTGTCATCAAAGTGGTTCGGGATCATCAGCTCCCAGTATCGTCTTTACTAGCTGCGTTCCCAAAGAACAGTCTCAAGAGCAAGATCACATGACTGTACATAATGCGTTTTATCTACGTTTTCAAGTAAGTTTACTTTTGTTTTTGTTTTCCTGGACTTGTTGAATGGAAACAATGTTTTTTTGCACATATTTTATGCGATATTCCAGTTTTAACATGGCTACTGAAGCCTGAAATCCAGATGGCAATCTGATTATTTGGCCCAACATTAAGAGGGCGTCAACAACTCTTCCATCAGAACATCCTACAATGAAGCCAACAGACCTGTTTTCACTCTCTGTGCTTTGGAACTGGCTGTAGAGCGTACTGGTGCTGGGTCGACCTGCTGCTGGCGTAGAGGTGGCGCTGACTTCACAGTCCAGAGCCAGATTGATGGAAGAGCCGACGCCGCTCTCCTGCAGATAAACTCCCTGAGAGCGCCGCTGATGACTCAGATTCGACGACATCAAGAGAGAGCTGGAGAACGAGTTCTGGGAAAAGAGAAGCTGGCTTTGAGAACACCACCCCATCGCTGAGGGTAGAGGTGAGATGGTGCAGCTGTATGTTTGGCGTTTTACCCTGCTCTCTAGTCTGGACTCTGCCCGCTGCGTTGCCTTGATTTTGTCCCAAGTGTCTTTCCATTTCTCTGTCGTTTGTCCCAACTCGGCTTCCAGGTTATGTACGTCCTGCCCACAAACAAACTTTTAGTTTCACATTCAG